TTTCTAAAGTGCATAAACTTTTGGAATTGATTGTATAGCCAATAAATCCTTAAACGATAATTACATCATAATGATAATAATTCTTTCAGACCTCATTAATCGATGCTAGTACATCTCCTATAGTGAAACCATCGCAAATTTTAGCCATCGCCGACGTATCGAAATGCCTGTTAATTCCAGAATGCTGTAAAAGAATAAATAAAACTGTTTTACGAAGAAATCTATGAAGTCATGTTTTTTTTTACACACTTTGTACAGTAAATCCTTCCATATTAGAGACATGGTCCCGTAGTCTGGCCTGGGAACGTATATCACTTTGTCGTACGTTTGATACAAAAGTTTCGGATCTCCTTCCCATGGCGAGTTTGAAATCCCAACGAGGATCACTCTGTCCTCGTTTGTAATATTCTTCACTAACTTCGGCAGATCCTTTTTCAAACGTTTCGGATCTGTCTTGTCCGTCTTTGGAATCTTTTTCATAAATGGTTTCTCTGCGCCGTCCATAAATATCACCGATGGTTGCAACAAACGCGATACCTTATTATAAAAATAAGAAAGATTGTCTTTTATGAAAAGAATTTCACGAACTCTGAATACTCTTTTTTTTATTAATATTTGGTATCTTGTACGAGATTCATTTAGCTTTAGTAAATTTTCTATTTCTATTGTTTTACAATTTAATGGCTGTGAATATTCTGGGAATCACCTTTGATATTAAATGAACGAGCATAATTAATCCTGACTTGCCGGGATACTTGCCAGCAATATTCGCTGGCGTGATATCGAATAGAGTAGCTCCGAGTTCTGTGCAAATTGCGTTTATTAGCATTTTTTTACCACTGCCATGTGGTCCAGCTATCAGTACTGATCTCACCAGCGGTGTCATTTCCCGGAGATTATCATTTCCCAAAGGCAGAATGCAGTATTCTGCTATCAACTGTCTTATGTCTCCTATTAATTGATTAAATAAATAAAAGAGATATTTATATGACATTCTGTATAATATTAATAAATCATTAGACTGTCAATTTTTATGCATTTATAAGAAACACAAGTGTGTTAAAATTGTAATACAAACAACGTGTATGTATAAAATAATTCATTGCCCTAATTATATTTTAGATAGTTTAATTTACATAAAAAGTCGCAATTTTGTTATGTTGATAATAAATTATATCTGACCGAGTGACGGCAAGGGATCTTTTCCCTTCTCCCTTAAATCATAATTGATGAACGATTTTTCTCCCTTAAAGTCAGTAAGCGATGTTTCTTTATGTAGTTTAATGATCCCTTGAGTCAGTAGCTCCTCGAACAAGGATTCTTTCGTCCTGTCTGGAGTCAAGTCCTTCTCCTTTCTCTTTTTATTCTTCTTCCCACCACGACGCACCCTCTTTTGAGGCTTCTTACCGCGTTTACCCTTAAAACCTTTGTCCCTGTCCAACGCGTTTTGCAACGCTTCGATGTCGTCTTATATAAAAAAAAGTTTTATAAAGTGATTATTATGCGCTAATTATTATTTATATTTTAGTATGTTTTACCTCTCGACGATTACCTCTGAGTTCTTGATCGACCATGACTCTGACTTCGTCCTCCACCTCTCTGGTTTTCTCGTTTTCGATCATGTCCAAGTATGGCAATTGTTCCATGTTCATCGATTCGTCCTTGTCTTTCCACACTTCCTGATACTCTTGATTGGCATGAGTCAATTCTGATAAGAAATTTGAAGGGATCGGTTTGAAGCCTTGTTCGGTCTCCTCTTCTGACTGTTCAGCGTCGCTGTCTTTTTTCGATCTCGACTTCTTCGACCTCTTCGACTCCTTCGACGACACGACTGTAGATTTGCTAATCGTACTCTCGGTTCCCTAAAATTTTCCTAATCATTCCTGGTTTCTATCGATATATTTTTATGGCTGTTCTACCTGTCGACTGAATATGATTCTGGAACCACCGCTTTCCGCAGACGGCAGATCAGGAATTTTTCCTGTTTGCTGAAAACAAGTGTTCACCCAATTTCGTATTTCGCCTCTTATGTTCTCTTCGATTATAGCACTTTTTTCTTTATGAATCTTTTCCTTCGTTTCTGTAATCATGTTCTCGTATAATTCTTGATATTTCGTTTGCTTCTCGTGTCTTTGCTCTTTGATCTTTTCACACCTTCTAGCGTTCTCTGTTATCTCTTGACTCGGTTGAAGCATCCCTGTATTTCAAACAAGTTTCATACTCCAGGTGAACTTGCTTGAGTATTATTATTATTAATGCAAATGCATGAGATCATGCTTGAGTATTATTATTATTAATGCAAATGATCATAATGATAATTTCCATATTTCTGTGTTTCCTATATTTTAAGTAGTTTCAAATTGAAAAATTGCTTTAGTAGTTATTATTCTGCACGTTAATGCAAATTATGATCATTTGAATACTAATGCAATTTCACGTTTTTGACATTGTTTAAAATACAGGAAATGATCATAATTTGCATTAGGAAAAAATAGATTTGACTAAATATCGACGGTTTTTAAATTATACCGATTAACAACATCTCCTCCAGACGTCTTTTACGTATTTTGCACCTGGTCACGTATCCCCTCCAAACTTTTTGAATCTTTATCACAGCTGCCCTCTCGCTCGTCTCGTCTCTTACCTCCGCCTCTGCTTTGATCGCAGATTTCTCTTTCATTTGACGAATTTCTTTCATAAATTGAAATCTCAGTCGACCTTGTCTAGCCCGTTCATGAGCCTAACGTTATTCAATCATGTAACTAATATTAACACTAGAAAGACTGAAACTTAGTATATACCTATATTGCCCAAAGCAGTAAAAATGACTGCATTGTGAAAGAATACTGTGTAAAGAAATTTGTCTAANTATTTCTGTATTTCCTATATTTTAAGTAGTTTCAAATTGAAAAATTGCTTTAGTAGTTATTATTCTGCACGTTAATGCAAATTATGATCATTTGAATACTAATGCAATTTCACGTTTTTGACATTGTTTAAAATACAGGAAATGATCATAATTTGCATTAGGAAAAAATAGATTTGACTAAATATCGACGGTTTTTAAATTATACCGATTAACAACATCTCCTCCAGACGTCTTTTACGTATTTTGCACCTGGTCACGTATCCCCTCCAAACTTTTTGAATCTTTATCACAGCTGCCCTCTCGCTCGTCTCGTCTCTTACCTCCGCCTCTGCTTTGATCGCAGATTTCTCTTTCATTTGACGAATTTCTTTCATAAATTGAAATCTCAGTCGACCTTGTCTAGCCCGTTCATGAGCCTAACGTTATTCAATCATGTAACTAATATTAACACTAGAAAGACTGAAACTTAGTATATACCTATATTGCCCAAAGCAGTAAAAATGACTGCATTGTGAAAGAATACTGTGTAAAGAAATTTGTCTAAAATTAATTTTACCGAATGGGACTTGGGAAGATTGGATATCTAAAGCTTATATTGAAAGGATCAGTCTTTCAGCCACTGGCTTCTACAAAACTCCTGACATAGGATATTCGTTCGATACCAACACAGGCAATCCTTTTAATTACTTTACGTACGGAGCTGCGTGACGTAAATAGAATTTGAATAGAATTTATTCTAAAGATTACAGTGCTTTATCTTGAGTATCTTCTACTTATTCTTCACCTGTATAAGTCTCACAGCCTCCGCCTCGGTTATCTTTTTGGGCACGACTACTCCGTCCAAAGCGCCAATATTTTTTAAAACAGTTTCGATATACCTTCGATTTTCCTCGATCTCGTTCAAACGTTCGCGTCTGAAATATTTAGGCACACGAATTTCCACCTCCTGAGGAGTGACATTGAATCTCGTCAGGACGTCGTCGAAATAGCTATACTCCGAGAGATCGATCTCGACCAATTCGTGTTTCAATTCTAAAATTCTACCGATGCACGAGTCTAACAACCGTCTTATTAACATTCTCTTCTGTGGCTGAATTATCTGATCGTAGCACAGTTCTAATTTATTGCAAATCATGATATATTTCACGTACAACTCTGTGACCAAATTATGAGCTTTCTTGCGATCCTTCTGCGGCTTCGCGTTTTGCAAATTCGCGTCCACTTGCAGGACTTCTTCCAAAGAGATTTGCGCGTTTTTCCATAATTCGTTATACGTCGCGTTAGACATTTCTCTTCTGTTTCGATTCGACTACTGAATAATTAATCGAACGGCACGGTGCGGTTCTTCAGGGATTGTTGGAAATCGTTTATATCCTAGCAACCATCAAGCTACTCCAAGGAGTTCCTACAATAATTCGGGTTTTGACTGCCATACGACATATTGCTTTTAATTAAACAGTTTATAACAATATATTTTCATATTTTATATATTTATAACACCTAA